TGTTCAGCCTGGAGAGGAGAAGGCTCTGGGGAGACCTTATTGCAGCCTTTCAGTACTTAAAGGGGGCTTATAAGAAAGATGGGGACAAACTTTTTAGCAGGGCCTGTTGTGACAGGACCAAGGGGTAATGGTTTTAAACTGAAAGAGGGGAGATTTAGACTAGATACAAGGAAGACATTTTTTACGCTGAGGGAGGTGAAGCACTGGCCCAGGTTGCCCAGAGAGGTGGTGGATGCCCCATCCCTGGAAACATTCCAGGTCAGGTTGGACGGGGCTCTGAGCAACCTGCTCTAGTTGAAGATGTCGCTCATTGCAGGGGGCTTGGACTAAGTGATCTTCAAAGGTCCCTTCCAACCCTGACCATTCGATAATTCTATGATTATAGATCCTCAGCGTAGCACTTTGCAGTTCCATTTTAGAGAATATGACATTCTCGCACAGTCATGCCCTTCTATCCAACACTGTACAATTTTTTTCCACATAATTCACAAAAACCTCTAACCTATAAAATCTAAGACCTCAAATATATACTTGTCTCAATATAAATATATTCCAACTCCTGCAGAAGCCAACAGCTTCAGCATCTATTTGAACAAGAGACAGATCTGGAAAATTTGTAATGCACGAGTTGTCAGTTTAAGTGACAAGAAAGTACTAGAGTCTAATGAGTCATGCAACACAGATATAAAAGACAGGAAGAGAAAAAAGAAAGCATACTAGAAAAAAAACTGCAAAGCTACAATAGGAAAAGATGACCACAGGAATAAAAAACTTGAATTCTTACTTCAAGTGAATACATCGCCTCTACCTTCAGCAACCATGAAACAAAAAGCGTGACTCGCTGTAAGTACGATGGAAAGAACTGCTTTACGTGTGGAGGTAAGATGGTAATACTCATCGGCTGGACTTGCACAAAGACACTGGAGAAAACAGCAATTAAAAAACAACAACAAAACACCTTTCTTCTTTTCTTACCAGAAACAGATTATACAGATCAATTCCAAAAGTGTCTTCAAATCTCCAGTGCCAAGCTTTATAATCATGGCGCTTAAAATTGATCAAAATATCACTAAGTGCATCATCCACAGCACCTGACTGCCAGGCTTCCTCATTGAGAAACCTGAGGATCTCCAAATATGTCTGTTTTGTAAGGATGATCTCAGCATCGTAATGAACGTGGCCCACGTTTTCCTCAGGCTGAATTAAAAGCAAAGCAAAAGCATGGTTAAAAGCTGCTTATTTGGAAATAGAAGTACACACGAAAAAAAAACTGTATCCCTATGCAAAAACCTGATTACATATCCTCACTATGGACCAGCACCTTTTTGAACCAGACTGCAGGATGAAGACATGGGACAGGGAGCACACGATGATTCTATAACCTTTTTGTTCATTCCTCTAAACTATATAAAAACACGAATTCAACCGGTTTGTACTCTTCCAATTCTACAGCAAAAACCTGAAAAATGAAGTGAGTTCTCTCAGCTGTTATGAAAATTTTAGAGCCCTTTCTCATTAACAAGTAATAATTACTAATGTGCTATGTGTGCCCCGATCATGGCTGGGCAATACAGACAGAAGCTATTAAATACTGAAAGAAGAAATTTTACATTGCTAAGTATAATGTTCTTTGTTAAATATTAATTTTGCTTGTTGCTAAAAATTTATTCCTCTACCTCTGAATAGGAAAAAAAAAAATCTCCAAAGGCAATATAAGAAAGAAAGTAGTAAGGTGATTCTTATATGCAAACTCTAATAAGCTACTATTCCTAGATGGTTAACGTGGTAGAGTCTAAAACAAAGGCCTAAAAGGTCAACAATGAACACAAAAACAAAATCCAGCTCTTTCAAGTTTAACAACCATTAACATGAACTGAACAGGGTACTACTACAGCCGCATCCCAGCAAGAGATATTTAGATACATACCCTGAATTCACGTAGTCTTCCTTTGGGTGCTTTACAGATCAAACGGCAACAGTCTCTACTCAGCAAACACTGCTAACCCTTTGCAATTCAGTTCCCTTAATTTTAATTTAAATAAGTATGCCAGAATAATTAATCAATACTTGATAACCGCGAAAAACACATAAAGTAGTATTATGAATTCTAATTAATTTTTAATGACTGTTCAAATACTTACAAGGCCAAGTTTTCCAGCTTCATTTAAAATCTTATTCAAGTATCGCTTAAAAATAGAAAAGCTACGGCTTTCGTGTGATTTGGCATTCCTCTTCTCACATTCCGCAATCTGCAATGTAAAGACATTTTATTCACTTCTTGCTCAAACCAGCTTGTTCATAGGAGGAAAAAAAAACCCTACTGACACATTAAACTCAGGATTAACAGAGGCACATTTCTTCAGTTTAGCAATAATCCCACGATTAGTACACCAGATAAAAAGTGTATGCAGCTGCTGAAGACACTACTTTCCACGGGACGGGCCAGTACCGGAGATTTCAGATCTGCTAATAATACGGTTTGAATACTAACCTCAGTTAGTATCCTCAGAAAAAACTAAGGACCTGGATCTTCTTAAATTTTAAGTTTACATCGGGGCGGGGGGGGGAGAGAACTGTAAAAAATACTAAGTAACTCAAACACCGTTAAAATTACATATCCCACTGGGTCTCCAAATGGCTGAGGGAAGCGAGAGCCCCGGTAGCCACACAAGCGTCACCGCACCCTCCTGATCTCAGAGGAAGAAGCAGCGCGGGGGGCCTGCCGCGGCGCCTGAGAGCTGCAGCACTGCACGTTACCATCAGCCATGAACACGTTCTCTACGCCCAAAACCCACCCGTTAAAATCCAACAGAATTGAACAACCTGAAAACGTCAGGTCAGGTTTCTTAGCTTTTGGCAGCACGGTGTAACATCAACACCACGTGTTTAAACTGTCGACGCTGGACAGAAGCACGTAGCTCCTATCAACTTCTGTTACACTATCAAACGTTTTAGGAAACAGACCTTGGTAGGCAGAGCAGCAATTTGGAATTGAGTTCAAACTCCTTCCAGTCTCTCCTCTGACTAAAGAGGTTCCCCCTACATAACGCACGCTCTCTCACAAATTACACCAGCAATTCACCAGTTCTACACTATTCAGGAAAGCATCATCAGAAAGCACAAACTATAAAAGGATGGAAAGTACTCTGAAGTTCCAGAACAAACCTTGTGTTGCAAGGAATCTACTTCCCTGGAACAACTCGATAAGATTTCAGGACTGACTGTATCCACGGTGTTATCCTCAGAGTCATGATAGTTTGCCTAAAATTACATAAGAAAAACACATATTTTTAGAATCAAAGAATTTGGCCAATATGCCACATTACACTTCTATAGTCAGACCACCTTAAAAGGCGCAAAGGAGCTAAAAACTGAGTGTTGGTCTTCGCTGCTAATACTCTCCCAACCACACTCCGATTGCCCCTCTGCCGTCATTTTAGGCTCCGAACGGACAATTGCTTTAAGTTTATCTAAATGTGTGCTACCTTCAAAAGGTGAGGTCTCGCCCCTTCCTCCCTCACCCACCCTTTCCCCTCCTCTGAGTGCTGCTGAGCCAGGCGGTGCATCAGATTAGATAACCAGACCGGCTAAAAACCGACTCAGCAAGCAAAGGGGCAGCTTTCAGCCAGACAAATTCCCAGTCCAGCTGGCCACGCAGCCAGCCAGACTGAAAGTAAACACAAAGCCCCATTCTCGGTTGCATGCCTTTCCTTTCACGTTCCCTCCTCACTCTGAAACAACATCCCACTTTTTTTTCTGCTAATTGCTCAGACTTAGTCTTAGCAGCGCTTCTTCCACACAACCGGGCACGCACGTTGAGGAAAGTCTCCAAAAGGAAGCGCAACATCACACAAATCAGCGAACTCATGCTGATACGGAGTTTGCTTTTGCGGACTCGGGTGGCCCACACAGCCTGACTACCTCAAATCTCTCACTGCAGAGCAGAAGAGAAATCCTGAAAAGATGGATTAACCCAAAGCAGTCATTCTTCTCCTTTAAGATGCAGTTCTATTTTTGCGGGAGACAACAGTACAACTCCTAATGGTTTTTTTATACAAGCTGAAGCAGTTGGGCACCGAGCTTAAAGACTCCAAAGCTTGCTGCCTAATTTTAGGGATGCTAATGACTATCAGGTGGACTTGGGGCAGGTGGAGGCTGAGGAGGAACTCTGCGGAGAGAACTAATGCCGTTTGCACTTTTTAAGCTTCAGAAAATGGTATTCTTCAAGACTGCAAAACCCAACTTGAAAGCCGAAGAATGACAAAAATCAAGGGTGCCCGTACAACCAACCACCGTTTGCAGTGCCACGTGTGCACCTACGCGCTGGATAAACAACACACATCTCATGGTGTATGTAGAGTCCACCCTGCATACAAGACAACCGAGATGATTCACCTTGTTAAAACTAGCTTTTCGCATTTAATCTTCTCCTCAATATTAATGAATTATTAACAGTACAGCACTCAATCCCTATTCTGATCGTCCTTCTAAACACTCTGATGCCCAGCATTACAAAACACCATTGATTTTCATAATACTCTCACACAACAAATGGGGTTTATTCCCATATTACCGGGGAACTGGATAATTCAAGTAAAATATAATCATAACTCCCCCACCTTTTATCAGCTGGGAACTTAATTTTCAAGATATTTAACACTATACTCAAGAAACTAGCAAGAGCTGCTTAACCCAGCACTTCCCAGAGAAATAACTCGTGGAGCCACAACCTGCATAAATCATCCACCACCCGTGAGAAGACAAAAAGCACGGTTCCTGTGACTCGATCGGTGTGCAACAGAAACTCACCGGTAAAAGACCCCGAGCTAATTATCTACAGTAAGATAGACGCTATTTTTTTCTTGCAGCTTTAACAATGGACACACAACACTTTCCTGTGTATAGCAGAAAGACCATAATTCTATCGTTTTCTAATGTCACGCTGTAGGGGCAATCTTTCAACGGCGTGCGCCTGAAGGACTGTTTGGGAGAGACAGGTACTCATGCACCCTTGCTTTTTCTACCTTATAGGGTCTTCTCATTGTTCCTGACGCTGCATCGTAATTGAGCATGTCTGTGGGGTCGATCCATTCGTCGTCTTGAACTTTACCGCTCCCTGTTAGCACGACCGCACACAATACCAACGGAAACAGCATCCTGCATCAAGAAATTCAGGTACTTAGTTCAGAACGTAACATGCCGTAGGAAAAAAAAGAAACCATCTTACAAGGTGAAAAAAGCATTCCCTGGTGTTGTTTAAAAACTCCGCTCCCCATCAAGCAGGTTAAACTTCGCTTATATTTTTTTTTTTTTCCTCACAGAAAACACCGGCAACGATTCAGCTGTGTTATGTGGCCGGATCACTGTAACCAGCTGCAGTTATCAGCGGGCGCGGGGCAGAGTTCAGCTTTGCTAAAGGCGGTAGAACGGTGCAGAACTCCTCCAGGCTTCGAGACGAGGGGCCGGCACCGGCACCGCCACGGGAATTCCCGGGAGGAGCCTTGCCAAGGCCGTGAGGGTGGGTGGGTACGCCCGGGCGGGCGGGAGGCACGGCCTCGGTCACCTC